GTGAAGCGTGCACATATGTTTCAGTCTTTCTTAGCCCAATGATAGCATCACTGCATTTGATTACTCAAAACCATATATTTCTTTTATTTCTAAAAGAGAAAAATCCCTGAATTTTAAAGCCAGAGAGGATTTTGAAGATTACTGCCTGCTCCTAGAGGAATTTGGGGTGCCAAGTTATAAAACACCTTGAAAGGATGGATGGTATGTGATTGAGAACACCCAGTGTAACTCAGGTGGTAGAGTGTTTGTCTAGCATGCCTGGAGCCTTAGGTTTCAATCTTCAGCACTGTATAAAACAAGAAGTGGGGGTGGGTGGGCTGGAGAGATGGCTCAGCAATTAAGAGGGCATACTGCTACTGCTGAAGACCCAAGTTCAGTTCCTAGCACCCACTTCAGGAGGCTCGCAAGAGCTTGTAACTCCAGCTCCAGAAGGATCTGACACCTCACCTGCTCTCAAATGCACATACCCATATACAGACATATACACATAATTAAAAACATTTTGGCCCGGCGTGGTCAACAAAAGACCAAAAAAAAAAAAGTTTTTAAATAAAATAAAACAAGGGGTGACAGCCACTTAGTCCTGCTCATCTCATTATTATTATTATTACTTTTTTTTTTTTTTTGGTCTTTTGGAGACAGGGCCTCCCTATAGCCCCAGCTGTCCTGGAACTCATTATGTAGACCAGGCTGACCTTGAACTCACAAAGATCCACCTGTCTCTGCCTCCCGAGTGCTGGGATTAAAGGCGTGTGCCACCATGCCCAGCATCTCATTCTTTTTTTAAGAACTTGTACTTATTTATTTATTTATTTATTATTTATTTATTTATTTATTTTTACTTTATGTGCATGAGTGTTTTGCCTGCATGTATGTAAGTATACTACCTACCTGCAATGCTCATGGAGGCCAGAAGTGGGTGTCAGATCCCCTGGAACTGGAGTTATGGGTAGTTGTTAACTGCCATGTGGTTGCTGGGACCCAAACCTGAGTCCTCTGCAAGAGCAGCCATTATTCTTAATTGCTGAATCATCATTGCTCCAGTACCTCAGTCCTTTTTTGTTTTTTGAGGCACAGGGGCGGGGGCTCTCCCTGTAGCCCTAGCTGGCCTGGAACTCTATGTAGACCAGACTGGTCTCAAGCTCACAGACATCTGCCTGCCTCTGCCTCCCAAGTTCTGGGATTAAAGATGTGTGCCATCATGCCCAGCATCAGTCCTTTTTAAAAATATAACTTTAAATTCTATTTATTTATTCTTTGACAATTTCATATATGTATATATTTTGATCATCATCCTCCATTATTCTCTCTTATCCCCTTCCCACTCCTTCTAAACCCCTTCTTTTCCCCCAACAAATCCTCCTATTTTCATGTCTTTTTTTAATGCCCTTCTGAGTGTAATTAGGTTTGCTTGCATGAGCATGGGTGAGGGGTTATTTACTAGAGCATGGTAAGCATAATGTACCAGTACCTGTCCCACTGAAGAAAATGACTCCCACACCCCCAGCAACCGTTAACTGCCAGTAGCTCCTCAGCTAGCAGTGAGCCGTCCCAGTCTTGAACGCAAGAAGAACTTTATGGATTTGTGCAGAAGCCTTCTGATGAATGCTTAAAATAGAGCTGGAAGCAATGACTTGATCCCTTTGCTAGATATAGTTCAACCTGGGACATGTATTTAGCAGATCATTTGTTTCCACATACATCCTTTACTAGCATTTAGAGATTTCTTAATGCCTGACTCGTTGCCTCTTGGAGGAAGCTTGGGCTTTGGTCTAGATGTTTTTGTTGAGGACTTCGCAAACTTGGGGGCATCCAGCAGTAGAGGTGACAAAGCAGTCTTTTGACTGTCGTGAAAAGCCTCTTGTAGCTTTCTTGCTCTGCATCTAGGGTGAAGACACTGTAGATGTTTTTAGAAATATATGGGCTTGGCAGACATGCACCCGCATGAGACTATGCCTGTACAAATGCTTCCTGAGTAATTTGCACTGACCTTTTACAAAATTGCTGACAGCCTAGGAGCCTCCCAAGGGAGGTGTTTGAGTCTGGAACATCATGGAGGCTGGTATGATCCCTGGCCTTGAGTGATCTTTGATGCCTTTGGTGGGTGGTGGCACTCTCTCCCTAAGGATGATTTAGAACTTTTTTCCTGGAATATGAAAAAAAACGGAAAGTAATTTTGTTTGGCAAGTCCTGCATCAATCCCTTGAGATTGCACTCTGGGGCTATAGAATGGAAATCTGGTTTTGATGTTGATTCATGCTCCCTCTCAAATTTCATGCCAGGAAGAGGGAGCATATTAAAGCATGAGATATGTGAGTGTGCAAATTAGAGTCCACAGCCACAGCTCCCGACTTAGCTCTGCCATGCAAGGACCATGTTATTCCCAACAGGGTACTTAACTTGTCAGTTTTGGCCTGACTTCCTTCCTTCCTTCCTTCCTTCCTTCCTTCCTTCCTTCCTTCCTTCCTTCCTTCCTTCCTTCCTTCTTTCCTCTCCTTCCTTCTCCTTATTTATTTTTCTTCTGTTTTTTTTCCCAGACATGGTCTTTCTTTCTTAAATATTTTATTTTATTGTTTTTATTTATTTACTTTATTTATTTATTTATTTATTTTTGAGACAGGGTCTCCCTGTAGCCCCACCTGGCCTGGAACTTGCTATGTAGACCAAGCTGACCTCAAGGGATCAGCTTGCCTCTGCCTTCCCAGTGCTAGGATAAAAGGCGCACACAACTGAGCTAGGCTGATTTTCTTTCTAAAGAGATTTTGCTTTAGGGATGGTCCATTGGTGATAAATTCTCTTAGTTTTTCTTTCAAAAAATATTTTCATTATTTTTATTTTATGTGCGTGAGTGTATTGCCTGCATGTATGTGAGTGCACCCGTGTTGTGCAATGGTGCAGAGGTCAGAAGAGGGCTTTGGATTCCCCTGGAACTGGAGTTAAGGATGGTTCATAGCTGCCATG